CTTTAAAGAGTCCTCTGCTGCTGATGTTCAGGTGTATATCAGTATGTAGTGTCTCTACTTTAAAGAGTCCTCTCCTGCTGATGTTCAGGTGTATATCAGTATGTAGTGTCTCTACTTTAAAGAGTCCTCTCCTGCTGATGTTCAGGTGTATATCAGTATGTAGTGTCTCTACTTTAAAGAGTCCTCTCCTGCTGATGTTCAGGTGTATATCAGTATGTAGTGTCTCTACTTTAAAGAGTCCTCTCCTGCTGATGTTCAGGTGTATATCAGTATGTAGTGTCTCTACTTTAAAGAGTCCTCTCCTGCTGATGTTCAGGTGTATATCAGTATGTAGTGTCTCTACTTTAAAGAGTCCTCTCCTGCTGATGTTCAGGTGTATATCAGTATGTAGTGTCTCTACTTTAAAGAGTCCTCTCCTGCTGATGTTCAGGTGTATATCAGTATGTAGTGTCTCTACTTTAAAGAGTCCTCTCCTGCTGATGTTCAGGTGTATATCAGTATGTAGTGTCTCTACTTTAAAGAGTCCTCTCCTGCTGATGTTCAGGTGTATATCAGTATGTAGTGTCTCTACTTTAAAGAGTCCTCTCCTGCTGATGTTCAGGTGTATATCAGTATGTAGTGTCTCTACTTTAAAGAGTCCTCTCTGTACTCACTGCAGCTGAGCGAGGTGTCTGTCTGGGCGATGGAGGACTGGATGCTCCAGTGGTTGTTGTCCCAGTCGATCACGTTTCCCACCGTGTCGCAGCTCAGAGCGTTGAGCTGTGAGAGCGTCATGGCGTAGTCCCACAGCCGCAGATTGTAGATGTTCCCGTTGAAACTCTGCTGTCCTGAACACAGACAGGAAACACCGGGTTAGAAAGGGAAGTCCTACGTTTCTACCTTTTTCTTACTCTGTAATGCTGGTTTATTTCTATTTCAAAAAGCACTACTGTATGCTTAAGTGATAAGTAGAAATACTGAAAGGAACTTAAGTAATTTCACTTTTTTTGTCATAGTTTAATATTTTTTCACAATTTCATTATTTCTTAAATTGTGAACATTTTTCTCAGAATTTTTACTTTTTTTAAGAATCTGCCTTTTTGTCTCCTATTTGATTTTTTAGAAGAATTTGACTTTGTTTTTACTTTTTCTCGAAATGTTTACTATTTGAAGGAATTGCATTTTTTTCTCATAGTTTAATATTTTTTCATAATTTGACTTTTTTCTTAAAATTTGACTTTTTTTTCTCAGAATTATTATTTAATTTTTTTGAATTTCACTTTTTTTCTCATAATTTATATGACTTATAACCTCTTAAAGTGTGACTTTGTCTTCAAATTAAAATGTTTTCTTAAAATCTGATTTTTTTCTCAGTATTTCACTTTTCTTTTAAGTGGTGACTTTTTGACTATGGGGTCTAAAAACATCAAGCTACATGAATGTCTGGGAGCAAATTAATTGTATATGCTACACAAATATGGCCAGGATCCGTTGAATTTTCTGAATATTGGGTTGCAGATTATAATTTTCCAAAGGGGGGTTCGTTTAGAATGAAACACTTGAAATGACTAAAGGATAAGTTAAAAAAGAAAGTAGAAAGAAAGTGAGGTCAAAGAAAACTATTTCTGTTTTTCCATAACAGAAGTATTAAACAAAATGTTGAGACGTACCTCCTAACTTGAACTGCCCCCCGCCCGGCACAGAGTGTCCGCTGGAGGCCGAGCAGCTCTTGGCAGAGTAGTTCCCGTTAAAGTAGGCCGCCACGCGTCCGTTGGAAGAAGTCCAGAGCACGCAGAAAGGCTTCATGGCGGAGGTGAAGTTGGCGGAGGAGAGGATGGAGTCGATGGGACACTCCACCCCGTCCACGATCATCTTCATGCCGGACTGATCCGAGCCCAGACTCAGAGCCACGTTGTTGCTGCTGTCCGAGTACGTGAAGATCCACTCTTTCTGTTGGGGAACACAAGGGTTAATGTTGGGGAAATCCTGAATGTCCTCTTCCAACATGAGAGTAACATGATAACAAAGGTATCCCAACTGTAGCTGTGTTCATGACAGGATGTATGATTACCTAGAAGAGCATCAGGACTGTTTGAGGCATATGATAGCTATGTGATTAACATGATGATTCAGCCTCTATGGAGATAGCCATATGACAAGCATGCTCATTTCTGACGTGGAGCTAATCTGAAGTAAACATTGAATACTGCTTTCTATTCCTCCATCTTGTGACTGTGTAACTCCCTCTCTTGGATATCAGCATGTGAAGGACACTGTTCAGGAACTAGTTGATGCTCTGTATGTGATGACTACTTCCATTCTGGAGAGGATCACAGATACATGGATCCTGAGATTGAAGCTCAAGCCGGGGACCAGGGATTATTAACATTTTTAAGTCATTCATTTTTTAGATGAGAAAAAGTCAGATTTTTTTGATTTTTGAGAAAAAGTCAGATTTTTTTGATTTTTGAGAAAAAGTCAGATTGTTTTTATTTTTGAGAAAAAAGTCAGATTTTTTTTTTAAAGTCAGAATGTGGAGATTTTGAGAAAAAGCCAGATTTTTGGGGGATTTTGAGAAAAAGTCAGAATTTTTTTTAAAAGTCAGAATTTTGTGTTTTTTTTTAAAAAGTCCGATTTTTGGGGGATTTTTTAGAAAAAGTCCGATTTTTGGGGGATTTTGAGAAAAAGTCAAAATGTTGAGAAAAAGTCAGATTTTTTTAGAAAAAGTCAGATTCTTAAAAAAAAAGTCTGATTTTTGAGAAAAAGTCTGATTTTTTAGAAAAAGTCTGATTTTTGAGAAAAAGTCTGATTTTTGAGAAAAAGTCTGATTTTTGAGAAAAAGTCAGAATTTTGAGAAAAAGTCAGAATTTTGAGATTTTGTGGAAAAAGTCAGGATTTTGAGAAAAAGTCAGAATGTTGAGAATGTTGTACATGACAGGATGTACTGCTTTCTATTCCTCCATCTTGTGACTGTGTAACTCCCTCTCTTGGATATCAGCATGTGAAGGACACTGTTCAGGAACTAGTTGATGCTCTGTATGTGATGACTACTTCCATTCTGGAGAGGATCACAGATACATGGATCCTGAGATTGAAGCTCAAGCCGGGGACCAGGGATTATTAACATTTTTAAGATTTCGAGCAAAAGTCAGAATGTTGTGATGTTGTTGTGACATCATACCCCCCCTCAGTGTGGTATCTGCGTGTTGTGTTCAGGTACCTTTTTGTTGCCGGTGCGTTCAAGCTCAAAGCAAAGCGTCAGGTGACTGAGCGTCGGGATGGAAACTGAGCCGGACACCTGGGTCACCTGACCGTTACCGTGGGAGATGGTGACCTTCTGGTTCCTGAGGGCCACTGCCACTGGAGAGGAGGAAGACGAGGAGGAGGAGGAGGAGGGCAAATGAGGAAAAAGCGTGGAGAGGAAATTAAATGATACAAGATAGAAATAAAGGTACAAAATAAAAGTGAGGAAGCAAAGAGGAAAGAGGTCAGACAGAAAGAAAATACATAATTATGAGACAGAAATATGTTTAATTTAAATGTATTTCACTAATAATGCCATTAACTTATAAATACTTTAACCTTTTTGATGAAAGTTTGACCGTCAAGAGCGAGTAAATGTAGGAGAATCCTCCCAACATGACGTTCTGTGTATTATTCCTGAACACTTGAACACTTGAAAGCACTGATGCACATTCAGGTTCCCTACCACACTAACTCACATCATTACAGATAAACAACAACAAAGTAAACGGCGTAGACCGTGAGATCAGTCGACAGATGTTAGCATCTCTGAATATTCAACCCGGTATCACAGCAAGACGTGAACATGTGACGATTCACCACGCTGGGAGACGTGAAGACGTTACGAGTTCGTCCCTTCAAACGTGACAGTGACCCTTGTGACCATGGCCCTCAGTGCAGAAACACTTTCCCGTGTTATGGAGGTTATTCCCTATCTTTATTCAAGAGCGTGTTCTTTCAAATTTGAGAGCATACCCAGCGTGGTGAATCGTCACGTGTTCACGTCTTGCCGTGACACCGGGTTGGAATATGACTTAGAGTCCAACGAGGCCAACGTTCGTCCTCTGAAAGGATCGTTTCCAACGTTCGAAGTGCTGTGGAGACACCAGGAGATCAGAGGGTCGCTCTCACAGGGAACACCACGGATGTTCAATTGCTAACGGCTAACGATTAGCACGTGATACCAAGTTTTCACGACAACAAAGCTAATCTCAAGATACGACGGATTCACTTCTGTTGATATCATTAGGGTCTTACATGAAGGGTTTGAGGGTAACTGAAGTTAGAATGCCAAAGAAAGCAGCATATGTTGTGTTGCTGGGATGCCCCAATGCATTGTGGGAGGATACACACTTGAAAGTGCTGATTCCCATGTTCCCATTTTTACTTCTTTATGTTTATTTAAATATTTTTGCTGCATGTACCTTTTACATTCTTAACATCTAATCTGAGGGGAATTTCTTGTTGTTTATTTTTAACTTGTGACGTGTCGCCATTTTGTAAAGCACTTTGAGCTGCATGCGTTGTATGAAAAGTGCTGTATAAATAAAGCTTTATTATTATGATCATATCTACACTGCCGCTGCTATCTGATGATAAAGCCTTTAAATCTTGAAAAGCCTGGATGAGCTTCCTCTGAGGAACCTTACCGTGCCGGAAGCTAACACTGAACCCTCTCTTCTGCACGCTGAAGTCGGAGTTGAAGGAAAGCTCCATCACGTTCCCGGTGGAGTTCAGCGTCAGCCCGTTGGCGGTCGGACCGCAAAACTTAACGTCCGTTTTCCCCGTGTTGACCAGCACGCGGTCGTAGATGCAGCCCGGCGCCTCCTCCAGGTCGAAGTCCAGGAAGGAGAGCTGGATGATGAAGCCGGCGGGCGCCTGCATGGTCCATCGGCACGCCTGAGAGTTGGGGTATATCTGGGGGTAGCAGGGCGACGTGAACGCCCCCTGGTTCTCCGTCAGCACCAACACACAGCTGGAGGGGCTGCAGCACAGCACTGCAGGCGAGGGGACATTCATGAGCTTTAAAAAACACCTCTGAAGAAGGTAGGAGGAAGATCACGCAGAAGACCAGGTGCTAGTAGACCAGACAGAACCAAGGATAGGAGCCCAAACAAGGGAAGACCAGAGACAAAGGAGCCTTGAGAGGTCAAGTGAGGAGGAGTCAAGGACAAACGGAGTCGTTGATTATCAAGGATTCACGGACAAAGAGGACTTTTCAAGAAGGAGGTTAGGAGACAGGACACAAGGAGTTAAGGAATTATCTTTGAGACGTTACACCCCAGGGATCAGAAGAGAAAGAACGAGACGTGCAGTTAAAGGTTCAGTTAAAGGTTCAGAGAGGAATCAGTCGACCAATCCACGGAGAGCAGATTGATCATCAGACAGACAGTTGCATCAGATTCCTCCATCACAGGACTCAATACACACTGTAGTATCAGACACTGTAGTTATACACACTGTAGTATCAGACACCATGCACATGCAGAGCAATATGGCCAGTGGCATCGGGGGAAGAGTCACTTTTTAACCTGTTCCACCCTGAGCCTGTTTTTCAGGTCTCAGGCTCGAAAAAGACATTCCCAGAACAAATGACCATATCTTCCCTTCTAAAAGGGTTCAATTAATAATCTTTTTTCTCAAAGTAATGATAAACCTGTGAGTTGGATGTAGAAAAGTCAGAATCAATATAGATGTTTTTTATTTTAAAGAAAATTCAGATTGAACATAGTAAAAAACTGTAAATTATAGTGTCCGTCCAAATATTATTTTTTACTTATAGCGAAAACTACCCTTGAATGATGGGTTAGTAGACTAAAAGCTTTAGGAATCCAAAGTACAACATATAATAAGTACCCTGTATCAAGATTGATGCAAAACAAGTGACATTTGACCTTTTTAGAGAGATTTAGCAAAAGAAACTCCACCTCTGAGGTGATTTGGGTGAAAATGGGGGTTTTACCGTTTCTCTGGAACCCATTGGTCGATTTTGGTGATTGACATCTCTTTCTGACCGTTAGAGCCAATAGAATCGAAGGGGAATTTCCCCACTCACACACATGGTACAAAAAAAAGGTGGGGGCTTCGCGCATGCAGTTTTGCATCAGAGCGAACCTATCTCTAGCTCTGACATCTGGAAACGGAAAAGCAGGTTTATTGCTTATGTATTATCAGAAATCATTTCAAAGGGACACAGACACATTGGATTAACTTCAGCAGCGTTTTTATCGTTTTAATGCCATTGAAGACCACTTTTGACCAGACTATGACACAGGTAAGCCATGTTAGCGTTTTTAGCTACCTAGCGGCACATGTTTTGATGTCTGTTTTTGTTTATAAAGTCGCGATTTCGTATAATTCAGTGATAATGAGGGTACCCATCGATTCTGTGTCACCTCACAATGTGAAACGATGTGTTGGATGTGCAGAAAAGATAAATAATAAGGTTTTCTGAGTGATTTTCGGTGCAGTAATCTGTTAGCATTTTTCGCTCGTTGCTAATTCAGAGGCTCAGCGTTAGCATTGTGGGGGTTTTTTTGAAAAAAAAAAGAAAATGATGAGTTAGATGAGTTTCTTCCCGTTACATGGATATAAAACATTCATAGTTTATTAAATGAACATGCCCTCAGACACTGTTTCCTGCAAGATGTTGCGGCAGTGCCCCGGTACCGGGGTCTCTCGGGCTTAACAGGTTAAGGAAAGATTGAGCAGTCATCAGATTACAGGAGAAACCTTTTGCATCGTGGGGGGAGAATACATCTCCTCATACAGATGATCAAACGCTGCAAGAAGCTCAAAACACAACGAGACCAGGGGACACTAAAGAGTGACGCACACAGCTGGGAGAGCAGGGGACACTAAAGAGTGACGCACACAGCTGGGAGACCAGGGGACACTAAAGAGTGACGCACACAGCTGGGAGACCAGGGGACACTAAAGAGTGACGCACACAGCTGGGAGACCAGGGGACACTAAAGAGTGACGCACACAGCTGGGAGACCAGGGGACACTAAAGAGTGACGCACACAGCTGGGAGACCAGGGACACTAAAGAGTGACGCACACAGCTGGGAGACCAGGGGACACTAAAGAGTGACGCACACAGCTGGGAGACCAGGGGACACTAAAGAGTGACGCACACAGCTGGGAGACCAGGGGACACTAAAGAGTGACGCACACAGCTGGGAGACTAGGGGACACTAAAGAGTGACGCACACAGCTGGGAGACCAGGGGACACTAAAGAGTGACGCACACAGCTGGGAGACCAGGGGACACTAAAGAGTGACGCACACAGCTGGGAGACCAGGGGACATTAAAGAGTGACGCACCCGTTGTGTTCTGAGCTTCTTCAGCGTTTGGTTTCTGCAGCTTTTAGTAAATGCTGCCATGTCTCCTCAAGTTGCTGAATGTTCTCTAAACGCTGCATGTGTTGCTGGAGATGTTTCTTCATGAGGAACATCTGGGTTTATATAAAAGTTGTACCAACAACTTGTACAAGTAAAAAAGGGTGTTATCTCGAAACATATGGAAATCTTTCCCTACAAGAAACTAAAGAGTGCCTACGGGTTGGATTGTAAGAGAAACCTGGCGAAAACAGCTGATCTAATGAAATGACTTAATGATTTCCCTAAACGTGTCCATCATGTTTGAAGAACAGCTGGAGGACGAGGCGTCGCAGACCGTAAGGAGAGAGGGGCCGGGTGGAAAGAATGGAGCGCCTCTCTCTCGTAACAATGGCCTCCGTTGATCTCAAAACCACAGCCAACGCACTGCCAACGTCACCGCCGTGTGTGTGTGTGTGTGTGTGTGTGTGTGTGTGTGTGTGTGTGTGTGTGTGTGTGTGTGTGTGTGTGTGTGTGTGTGTGTGTGTGTGTGTGTGTGTGTGTGTGTGTGTGTGTGTGTGTGTGTGTGTGTGTGTGGTGTGTGTGTGTGTGTGTGTGTGTGTGTGTGTGTGTGTGTGTGTGTGTGTGCCCTCCTTATCCATCAATAGCTGACTGTGGTCACATTTTGGAGAAACTTGTTTGACCGCTCGCTCCTTGGAAACTGTAGAAGTTAAATTCTACCGACAGATCGAGCGGTTCTATTTAGATTCAGTTTAGTCAGTTACATATACATATATTCTCCCCTAAAATACAAATATTGTGAGCGATTCTATAAGTATTTCCTTCAGTCAACAACAGACCGAATACATAGCATAATTAGCATAGCATAGAATAATCAGCTTTCGAAATCAATGAACCAAAGAGGTAACAAAATACATTTTATTTGGAGTGTGTGTGTGTGTGTGTGTGTGTGTGTGTGTGTGTGTGTGTGTGTGTGTGTGTGTGTGTGTGTGTGTGTGTGTGTGTGTGTTAAAAGCAGCCTCTCCAGTTTCTGTCTGCAGAGCCTCACATCTTTTTATCCTCCGACCGACCAGATCAACAGAACCAGACTTTAGCAGAGTTATCAGATCATTAGAAGTTACCAACTACACCTGAACATCAGCAGGAGAGGACTCTTTAAAGTAGAGACACTACATACTGATATACACCTGAACATCAGCAGGAGAGGACTCTTTAAAGTAGAGACACTACATACTTATACACCTGAACATCAGCAGGAGAGGACTCTTTAAAGTAGAGACACTACATACTGATATACACCTGAACATCAGCAGGAGAGGACTCTTTAAAGTAGAGACACTACATACTGATATACACCTGAACATCAGCAGGAGAGGACTCTTTAAAGTAGAGACTCTACATACTGATATACACCTGAACATCAGCAGGAGAGGACTCTTTAAAGTAGAGACACTACATACTGATATACACCTGAACATCAGCAGGAGAGGACTCTTTAAAGTAGAGACACTACATACTGATATACACCTGAACATCAGCAGGAGAGGACTCTTTAAAGTAGAGACACTACATACTGATATACACCTGAACATCAGCAGGAGAGGACTCTTTAAAGTAGAGACACTACATACTGATATACTGAACATCAGCAGGAGAGGACTCAGCAGGAGAGGACTCTTTAAAGTAGAGACAACTACATACTGATTACACCTGAACATCAGCAGGCAGAGGACTCTTTAAAGTAGAGACACTACATACTGATATACACCTGAACATCAGCAGGAGAGGACTCTTTAAAGTAGAGACACTACATACTGATATACACCTGAACATCAGCAGGAGAGGACTCTTTAAAGTAGAGACACTACATACTGATATACACCTGAACATCAGCAGGAGAGGACTCTTTAAAGTAGAGACACTACATACTGATATACACCTGAACATCAGCAGGAGAGGACTCTTTAAAGTAGAGACACTACATACTGATATACACCTGAACATCAGCAGGAGAGGACTCTTTAAAGTAGAGACTCTACATACTGATATACACCTGAACATCAGCAGGAGAGGACTCTTTAAAGTAGAGACACTACATACTGATATACACCTGAACATCAGCAGGAGAGGACTCTTTAAAGTAGAGACACTACATACTGATATACACCTGAACATCAGCAGGAGAGGGACTCTTTAAAGTAGAGACACTACATACTGATATACACCTGAACATCAGCAGGAGAGGACTCTTTAAAGTAGAGACACTACATACTGATATACACCTGATCATCAGCAGGAGAGGACTCTTTAAAGTAGAGACACTACATACTGATATACACCTGAACATCAGCAGGAGAGGACTCTTTAAAGTAGAGACACTACATACTGATATACACCTGAACATCAGCAGGAGAGGACTCTTTAAAGTAGAGACACTACATACTGATATACACCTGAACATCAGCAGGAGAGGACTCTTTAAAGTAGAGACACTACATACTGATATACACCTGAACATCAGCAGGAGAGGACTCTTTAAAGTAGAGACACTACATACTGATATACACCTGAACATCAGCAGGAGAGGACTCTTTAAAGTAGAGACACTACATACTGATATACACCTGAACATCAGCAGGAGAGGACTCTTTTAA